TACACCGCACTCCTCACCCGAGTCTACACCGCACGCCTCACCCGCGTGTACACCACACTCCTCACCTGAGTCTACACCGCACAGTGACCGAGTGTACACCACACACGCGTCTACACCAGACGCCTCACCGCGTTTACACCGCACACCTCACCTGAGCCTACACCGCACGCCTCACCCACGTCTATACGGCACACCAGATTCCAGTCTACAGTGCACATCGTACATGTGTCTACACGGCACGCCAGACCCGAGTCTACACCACACTCCTCACCTGCGTCTACACAGCACACCAGACCCGACTCTACACCGCACATCGCACTCGCGTCTACACCGCACGCGTCACCCGCGTCTACACCACACGCTTCATCTCTCACGGGAGGTGCCATGTCTACACCGCACCCCTCATCCCCGCTCACGAGAGTCCGGCATCCACACCGCGCCCTGTGTCTTCCCTCCGTTAGGACGTGGTGAACACGCACCCGGGGCTGTCGTTCCTGAAGGAGGCGTCTGAGTTCCACTCACGGTACATCACCACGGTGAGCACCTGGGGCTCCTCCTAGCGCTGCCGAGCGCGGGAGCTGCCGCCGAGGGAGGCGGTTCCGTGGCTGCACCCACGCCGGGCTGCGGCACGGTGGGGAGGGCAGGGCGTGTTTCCGGAGTGGCCGCCGTGCATGGGGGAGCCCTGAGCCGCAGGAGGAAGCGGCAGGTCCCTGGCAGGGTGCCTCCGCCGCCCCTGGGACCCAGGGATGGGCGCGCGGGGCTGGAGCCCCCACCCTGCCCGGCTCCGCCCCAGTTCCCTGGACGCCCGCAGCCCCAGCACGTGGCCCCTCCCTCCCGGCGGCCGGCACCCCCCACCCACGCACGGGCAGGAGGACTTTGCCCTGCGCCCACGGCCGCGGTGGCTCTGGGTGCGTCTCCGTCCTCGGGGCGGGGGTGCCACAGAACCGGAGCGCAGCGCAGCCACCGCGGCCTCCTCTGCAGACGGCCAGGAGCACGACCCAGGCCCCCGGCACACGCGGCCGGCACCGCCCCGGCCCCACGCCCCGCCCGCGGGAGGCTGAGACATTCCCAAACTACCAACGGTGCCGTCGCCCTCGGGGTGACGCTGGCAGCTGCAGGTCCGAGCACCGGGCGGTTCTGAAGCCGCCGGAGCCCACAGCAGCCTCACATCTGTCCCCCGACACAAACGGCAGCGCGCCCACAAAAACGGGGCTGTCCCCGCTGCTCCGTGGGGGACTCAGGGAGGTGGGCGGGGGCGTGGGTCCTCTAGGAGGACTCAGAGAGGTGGGAGCACTCCGGGAGGTGGGAGGACTCAGGGAGGTGTGTGGGTGCACTAGGCCACTCTGTGGGAGGACTCAGGGAGGTGCGTGGGGCACACGTCTGCCCCGTGGGGGACTCAGGGAGGTGGGAGCACACGTCTGCTGTGTGGGAGGACTCAGGTGGGAGCACATGTCTGCTCTGTGGGAAGACTCAGTGGGAGCACACGTCTGCTGTATGGGG